TGGAAATTTAAGATAACAAACATGAAAGAAAATATCCTATTTTTAGAATATATTCATCATAGTACTCTAGAAGAGCAAATAAACTCCAAACACAACTAATTTAGAGTTCTTGAAACACAGTAGGAATAAGACTAATAAAATTAGTTATATTCACAAAGGTCTTTCTATTAATAGCTCATGGTTTTTCTTTTCCTTTTTTAAAACTTTTAAACTCATTGGATCATTGGTTTAGGATACAGATGATCACAGATTGCTTTTTACCTATAAAAAATAAATATTTTGTGTTTATGTATAACATTAATTCAATATTGTTTATACAATTATTTCAATTATATCAATCACCATTCCAAAGACATGATTATCAGTTAAATTTCTGAGACTGACCATACAAATGGACCATGGCCAGACTAAAGATGACAATACGATTTCAACCACAACCTCTGCAGCGACCAGAGACTAGGTTAAGAAACTAAAACAGCGTCTGCAGCAATTGATGCAGAATGGTCAGGACTTAGGCAACAGCAGCCAGCCTATCTACGTTTGCCCCTGCGTGAAATTCAGCAATAATCAGAGAAAGCAGAATAAGCTCCCCAGACCAATCACATAAGACACCTGCTTCTACTTAGCCCTCCAGCGTCTTCCCTATGTCAAAAACTGCCAATCAGAGACGCCTGAAGTCCGCCCTCACTTTTTCTTTTTTTGTTTTTTTTTTTCTTTTTCATTTTGAAGCTTTCCGTCTTTCCTGCTTGCCTTTGGGTCTCTGCCAAAAGCAAATGATGGTGGCTGACTCCCTTGCTAGAGCAATCTCTGAATACACAGCCTCTGTATGTTTTCATTTGGGTGGTTTTGTTTATTCCCACATTTCTAACAGTTTAGTTTCTTTGCTCAAAGATGACACATAAGTTAGTTCTCTCCACCGGAAATCTCTGCAGATTCATATAATACAGAGCTGTTTTGCCACTTGGAAACTGACATAGCCAATTCACCCATTCTCTCATAAATTCACTACAGCCAGACATTGAAATTCCAGATTTCAGGTAAGAATGCTGATGCTATCAGACTCAGTTAGTTTTAATGAACAATTACTAAGATGTTACATAAACTGAATTTTTGCCCATTACTTATGATGTCAGAATATATGCAAATTTTTATCATGTAAAAATAATTGACAGACACAGAGTCATTCTCCTTTATGTTAAAGGAGAGTCATTCTCCTTTATGTTATTCCTCCTTGGCATGGATGAATAATTGTTTCCAGGATTCAAGTCTCCACAAAGTAAAACAAACTAATTCTTTACAGGGAGAATATTCATGGAAAAGACAATAATAGCTTATAATTATTACCCTAACACATCTTCCAAAAGAAAAAAAATGAGCCATCATTGTATAGCACATAAAAAAAAATTCTTCCTCCATGACATAATATTTATTTCAAATATAAAATGAATGCCTTTGGGCCGGCCGAGTGGCTCAGTTGGTTAAGAGCTCGCGCAAGAGTGTGAGCTCTGAGCAACAGGGTCACTGGTTCGATTCATGGCCCGAGCTGAGTTGCTGCTGAGCTGCCAACAGGTAGCAGGATGGCTCAGCTAAAAAAATAATAATAATAAATAAATAAAATGAATGCCTTCTTAAAGTTTAAATTGAAAACTCAGAAATGTTGTTTTCAAAATCTTAAGTGATCCACATCTCATATTTTCAATAATTTTTTAGATGTTTATGTGTATATTTAATACACATGAGAAACAATTCAATAGCCTTATCAAGTAAAACAAAAATTAAATTTCTCTGCCTTTATAGTTTAAATCATGACTGTGTTTAAAAGGAAAAAAAACATAAAACACCAATATTTCTTATTTCCTTGGCTGTGTGGGCTAAAACATTTAATTTGCCATTGTTGTTAACATATTGTATTAGAATATAAATGTTTCACCTCAAAAAGCAAAATGAGCCACATGCAAAGAGATTCCAAATTTAACAAACACAAGGATGTGAGGCATAGAACACATGCATTTTTAGACATTTCCACAATGCTTCTAGGAAGGCTTTAATTCTGAAGCCCTAGCTCAATAGAGGCAAGGTGAGTTTCTACGCTCCCTCTGCTCATTTCCTGTTCCAGCTCTCAGAATTGTATCTTGGAAAAGAAAGATGGGGAAGAAAGTTTTCTTCAATGCAAGCCTGTATCCAGTGGAGGTACAAAGAACAACAATGAACAAATGTACCCCCACTTCCAAACCTACCTCATCTGCCATCACTCTACAGCTGCCTCGTCCAAGGGCTCCTTTTCTACAGACAAATGCAGCATTATTTCTACATGAATATGAGTACTCTTTTCTTTGCCCTTCAGTTGAATACTCTTCAAAGTATCACCTCTGGTTGCCCTGTCATTACATAGCATATCCTGGATATAAGGAAAGCTGTGAGCTCAGTGCTTCACAGCAAACCCCTTTAGGTTCACATACACCTCCTTTATAATTTAGGTTAACTTCTGAGTGCAAACCTCCATACTTAAAACAGGTAGTTCAAAAGTCTCCACTGTAGGTACTGGCATCTCCCTGATACCAAGGGCAGTGCCTGGTATTCAGTAGATGCTCCATAAATTAACCAACAGGAATCCTAGAAGAGCTTGCAAATTTTGTCAAATTAACGCTTCATGTTTTCAAGTATAATAAAAACTGACATCACACTGTAGCATAAGACATACAATTTCATGAGGATAGGTACACCACACTGGTATATTTTTGAATAAATAGTTTAAAAATATATTAGCACTTAAAGCAGTTTTTCTTTCTATAACGCCACTATCATGATGACAAATTTTGAATAGTTTCCTACTTCCTACTTAAACACACACACAAACACACACACACACAAACACACACACACACACACACTCATTTTCTAAGGCCTTTTATAATCTATAACTATCTTCATACCCACCTTAACTTCTATATTTATATTGTTTTCTTAGGGCCACCCAAATCAATCAGACTCATTCCCACACCCTGGCCACCAACCTTGTGCATTTTCTCACTTATATCATCTCATTCCACAGTCCAATGCCCGCATCTCATTTACAGTCTAATACAAACTTCACTTGTTCATACTTTTGTTCTCTCCTTACTGTGTGCTCCACTGATAAGCCCGCTCTTCTGAAATCCTAATGTATCCACAGCGAGAAGCATGCAATACATTACACAATTACTGTTGTTATTTCTAATGTGTTTGTTTGGTTTCCCCTTGAGGAAAAGCCCGGGTCCTGGTTTGTATTTAGCACAAGGGTGAAGACTTGTAATACAATGAGTGGGTACCCAGATTCTGAAGTCTGACCGACTCTAATTGGAAGTCAATTTCATGTTTATGTCCTTGAGCAATTTATCTGACTTCTATGAATTTCAGTTTCTTTAACAATGAAATGGAGACTATGATAATCAATCAAACTGTCCTGAAAATAAAAATGAGAAAACATATATATTCATCATAGTGTCACACAGAGTAAGCATTCATCAGTTTACTCTTATGCCTCTTCTGAATAACAAGATAGAAATTGAAGAAAATGTGAAAACAGAGCATTCAGTGACACTTTAGAAAAGATAATTTACTGTTTTTTTTTCTTTTATATTATGTAAAAACTCTATATAGCTATTGAAAAGCTCTATGTGGGACAGAGCATACAAAAATGGTTGACTACTTGTTGCTAAGTACTGCAGAGCCAACTTTGGCCCTACGCCTTTCTCACAGTTCCCATTACAAACAAGCTGAAACAACTTCAATGAAAGAAATTGAAGTGAGTAGAACTAAGAAATAGCCTCCAAATATAAAACTGCTAAATTTAACTCTCAGAAAAAAACCCCAAAAACATTGTAGTGGCTGAGAAAACTCTTGAAACAGATTTGGGAGTAAAAATGAAGTACAGAACAAGGTTTCATTCATTTTAAAACAATTGGAGGTTTATCACAGTTTATATGAACTGAAATTAAACTGAATCTGGATTCAGTTGAAGTGTAAAAGATTATCAAGAGTTCAGAATTCAATTTTGCTGCTCGACCTTCACTGCAGTTTGAATGCACAATATTCCTATTCTGTGGATGCCTTTGGCAGTGACACCTATAAAATATGAGAACGTTGGGCTCTTTAGCTTTTGCAAAACATGAAATGTGTCTATTTCCCAATGAGTTGTCACTCTGTAGAGTTGTGAATCTTCTTCGAACACCTAGCTACATATTATGACATCGTCCAAGTCACTGAGCATCCTTTTCAAAGTCACATTTCAGCAATTTTTTCAAACCCAGTTGAAAATATGCCAACAGTAAAACATTAATTCCTTTGAGTGGGAGACAGATGCAAAGCAGGGAAAACTTCACTAAAGTCTGTATTCTCTCTACATGTTGGTGACATGTCTTTACCCTTCCATCTTCCTAACTTCATTTTCCTCATTTCCCAGTCTGAATCCAGTGAGTGTTTTCAATATATCCTTTCTAGTAGTTTCAATTCTCTGATCTCCTTATATTCTTCTGCAAATTTCTTTTCATCACATACTGACACACAATGTATAATTCCTTAATGTATATCGTTATGTCATTGTACTCAAATATATCTAGTTATTGTTTCAGAAGCAAAAGAGAACACTAATTTTGAAGATACATAAATCACTATAACTAGAATTATGTAGCTATGGAAATCAACCATCTCCAATAGAGATCACAACTTGATTTACCAATTTCTTTGTAAAAGTAATACACTAATATGATACACAGAGAAGATTCCTGACGTCAGAGGGTATAAGGAGGTTTCTAAAATTATTACTTGGCAGTTTATTAGAAACTGCCATATTTATTTACCAAAACCTCTAGAATGACACACAACTTTCTAATTTTATATTATCTGCTTTGTCCCTACCACTGGATTTTTAGCCCCTGCCACTCAAAGAATCAGGGATTCCACTAATGCAATGAATGTTTTTAACCATTATAAATATTACACATCATTTTCCACATAATTACCTTGTGAAGTCTGTCATCTCCATCATGATCATACACATCTTCTTGGCCAGAACAATAATATCATTGCTTGTATCATCCCATATTTCAATCTCAGCATCCAGCTTACTCTTTACTTTCTTGAAGTCAGCAACTTGCTCAGCAATCTTTTCCTTTTCTGCCTCAGGCAACTGAGTCATTTTAGCCTAAAACATGTGATAATTAGATTTATAATTACTTCACTATGTCAAAAAGTATTTTAGAAAGAAGTAGTAATTATAGAAATCTCATACAATTGTTCATTTAAAAACAGACATATCAGAGTTTTCTTTTTTTAAGTCATATAATCAAAACCTTTCCTGGTTTTATTTTTCACATGAAAAATCTATCAAATTGTAATTGTTTGCTCTAGAACTACAATGTTAAATTTGAGATAAGCAATGTATAATTTAGTATGTGATATATTTAAGTTTCTTCTTCAATATAAATGTTGTACTTGTCAAAGTTCTAACATTAAATTTTTAAATTAATCCAAAATTAATGTAATACATTGCATATGTTAGAAAGAAATATACTTTATTTGGTTTTACTACTAGTATGCTTCAAAAGGCAGAAGTATAACAAAATTTATCTCAAAATTATACTGTCTATATATGTATGTATGTATATACATACATTCAGATAGATCTTTACACAAATACTGACTATATATTGGTAAACAGTAAAACTATACATTTATAAATCATATGTACATAGATAAGCACATATATATAAAATCATAAGAATTTACATGCATTTTACCCATATAAGCATACTCAGGTGTGTATGTGTATACAAATTATTTGGGGGGAAAAGTAAAAGTGCTATGAGCAGGGTTTATTAAGACAGCCCTGTCTAATTAGCATACTGATTTTTGAGTTGCTAATCTGCCAGGCACAGTAAACTTAATGTGTTGTCATAGTATCAATTCTTTGGATATGTTGCATTTTGAACAGCATGCAACTTTCATCTTCCACTTGCAATTTAAAATGTGGGATGGGTAGAAAACTATTCAAATCCCTAAACCACCATCTTCACAAACTTAGCATCTGGGGATTTTTAGATGCTAGTCTCTAGGACACTTATATATGGGGAAATAGGAAGAAATCACCTCAGAAAGCTTTGAAATATTTTGGATATGAGGTTCAGAATGCTGAAAACACAGTTTATTGAATCAATAGTGTTCAACAACACAAAACCTTAAATATATTAATGAAGGAATTACAAGAATGGTCAATGGAAAATTTAACTAAAAATAACAATCAGAGAAACAATATCAAATATTTATCATTTATATATATTTTTTATTTTTTAATTTTTAATTAAAGTTTATTGGGTGACAATGATTAAAGTTACATAGGTTTCAAGTGTACAATTCTGTAATACATATGAGGGTAAACATGATCAAATATATGGTGATGGAAGGAGAACTGACTCTGGGTGGTGAACACACAATGTGATATATAGATGACGTTTAACAATAGGCTTTCTGATTTGAAGTTTCCTTTAATCGTTTAGCTTATTGTTTGACACATATTGAATGCTCAATAAATGATAGTTGTTTCCTATTCAATAAGAAAATTACAAAAAATATTCTCATATCTAACACATAAAATTTGCTTTCTTTTCATTATTATTTTATTTTATTTGAAGAATTAAGTTACGAGACTAGATTTTCAATCGATGAGCTATACAGGTAATTCTTCCCCAGGTTCTGAAAATTGTATTTCATTTCTCAGGAAATGTGGTTTATGTAATACGTTAAAAGGGGAGCAACTTTTACTGTTGCTGGCATATGGCAAGGCACATAAATGAAGACACAGCTTCTGTCTGAAATCAATCGTATGCGAGCACATTAACTAAATTATAAGGTACTAACCCATTAAACTAGCTCAAAAATAGAATGGATCTTTTCCATCTTGACCATCAATCACTATCATTTTCTTCATTTTCATAAAAAAGTGCCTAAACTTTTAAAAAATAACAGCTGTAGATACATTCACGTGGGGCTTTTTTTTATTGTCTTTATCTAATAAATATATATAATATATTATATAGTCTATATATAATAAAGGTAATATATCCATGCCTCTGGATCTAATAAATAAGTTTGAAGTGTACAGGTATACCATGGACAATTATTCACTATCCTGATAATAAAGTTGAAACTATTCAAGAGGTGATCTGATTAAGTGTATTCCTGGTTCCGCTCCTTGCAATGCCACTGATTTTCAACACAACCTTGAGGAAGTTACTTACCCTTTGTCCTGAGTTTCCTTCTTTAGACACAAAAATAAAAATAAGTGTAACTGCTACCCATCTGCCATGTGGGCAACAGGATCGATTATTGGATAGCACTGTGAATGACCTTGTCATGGACAAGAATCTCATCAATTGTACCAGATTTCCTTAATAACACCTCAGCTCACATGATGCATTATAATTGGCAGACATTTATTTCTGATAAGGGCCAAAAGTCGGGCAATAGTTTACAAAATTAAAAGTTCTAGAGGATTCTGACTCCTCCTTCTCACAGGAGGAACAACAAAGTATTAAATTTTTGGCTGACACCTTTACTGAAGATTTTTTGTGCTTTTTGTGAATGACTTATTAAATGGTATTAATCAATTGCAATCAATATGAAAATTCAATACGACTTAAGAGAATGCTTGGAATTCTGAGTGAAACTTCCTTATTGTTTATTTTGTGCCAGATAAATAAAGAAATCGAGGTAAAAAGCTTTAGTTAAATCATGTGAGTAGAATCTCTGATGTTATTGCTGGCTGGTCATCTGTATGGGCTCTTGCTCAAATCTATAGAGTAGAACTCTATATAAACAGCTATCAAAGACTTTTTGAATTAGTCATTTGAATAAGATTATACTGTATCAATTGATTTTGGAATCTCTTGTCAAAGGCAATGAAAATAGATAGCATTTATATGTGCCAGACACTCTTCTAGGCACTTTACATATATTTAAACTTCAATCTTCATAGCAACCCTATGAAATAAAGGTATTATTATCCTAATTTTATGAATGATGAAATCAAGTTTCCACTAGTTTAAGTTATTTACTCAAGATTATAGTGTTAGTATATACAGTGTTAATGATTGGAAGAATATTGTTAAAATGTCTATATTACCCAAAGTAATCTGTAGATTCAACAAAATACCAATGACATTTTTCACAGAACCAGAACAAATATCCTCAAATTTATTAGGGACCACAAAAGATTCTAAATAGCCAAAGCCATCTTGAGAAAGAAGACAAAGCTGGAGTTATTATACTCCCTGATTTCAAACAAAACTAGAAAGCTATAGTAATCAATACAGCATGGTACTGACAAAAAATGAACAACAACAAAAAAACAGAGACACATCAGTAGAACAGAAAGGAGAACCCAAAATAAACCCAGGCTTATATGGTAATTAATCTACAATAAAGGAGGCAAGACTATACAATGGGGACAAGACAGTCTCTTCAATAAACAGTGTTAGGAATTCTGGACAAATACATGCAAAAAAATTAAACTGGACCACTTTTTTAAAAAACCCAAATGGATTAAAGACTTAAATGTAAGATCTGAAACTATGAAACTCCTAGAAGAAAACATAGGCAGTGAATTCTTGTCAGCCTTAACAATATTGTTTGGAAATGTCCCCTCAGGCTAGGGCTACAAAAGGAAACATAAACAAATGGGATTTCATTAAAAAGCTTTTGCACAAAGGGAAGGGAATCATCAGCAAAATACAAAGGCAACTTATTAAATGAGACAATATTTGCAAATGATATATCCAATAAGGGGTTAATATCCAAAATATATAAGGAACCCATACAAGTCAACATCAAAAAAACACACTAACAATCCAATTAAAAAATGGGCAGAAGATCTGAATAGACATATCTCCAAAGAAGACATACAGACGGTCAAAAGACTCATGAAAAGGTGCTCAACATCACTAATCATTAGGGAAATGCAAATCAAAAGCACAATGAGGTATCACCTCACATTGGTCAGAATGACTATTATCAAAAGAAAACAAATATTAATAATAAATGTTGGTGAGGATGTGAAGCCAAGGGAACCCTTGTGCACTGTTGGTGGGATTGTAAACTGATGCAGCCACTATGGAAAACAGGATGGTGGTTCCTCAAAGAATTAAAAATAGAACTACCTTATGGCCCAGCAATTCCACTTCTAGGTATTTATTCAAAGAAAATGAAAATACTAATTTGAAAAGATATGTGCACTCCTATGTTCATTAAAGCATTATTTACAATAGCCAAGAAATGAACATCACCTATGTGTCCATTGGTACATGAATAAATAAAGATCTGTTTCCTTCCCCTAGAATATGTTTCCTGAAAATAGGGACATATACATAATAAATGTTTGTCTATAGTTGTCAACCAAAATAGTCAAAAGATGAAGAAGAACAGGCTTATGGGATCAAAATTCATAGCATTAATTTTGCATTTTCTTTGTCACCTACATTTACACAGTTCCTAAGCTTTAACCTATACAGACAGAAATTAATTTCTCTAATGTATTTTCCCTGTTTAGTTTCAAACTTCGGTTCTCATTATTCCTCTAAGACTATACTATTAGCACAAATGACCTCCTCATCTGCTTATCTACAATAACTTTTAATTTCATTATATCATTATTACTTCTTAAAATATTGATATGATTACATTATTCTCTACTTAAACATTTTCAATTATTTTCATTATCTTTTAGAAAACATAAAAGACAAAGAAAAATTGGTATAACAGGAAAAAGGCAAAAATCATTGTCATTACAGAACACCATTCAAACTCCATTCTGCCATGTACTAGCTTTGTAGCATGTAGCTTAACCTTCTGAATCCCAATTTCCTCACATGTGAAAAGATGAAACTTAGGGTTTTTCTTACAATTAAAGTTATTTCTGTAACAATCATACCTATAATATATTGGGGCTTAATAAACGTTACTTATGGTTAATGTATACAAATTCTTTAGCCGGGCCTCCAAGACTTTTCACAGTATTTTGGGAAACGACAGTTAAATTAATATTCTTCTAGCCTCTTCATGAAGCTTAGGCAGAGACCAAGTATAATATTTTGAGTAAACACATTGCATAAGCAACAAACCATATAAAAACATACAGTCATAATCATTTTA